GCATGCGCAGAAGGCTTTAAAGGACAAGTAAGAAGCTCGGGCAGGCGGGTGGGCACTCCGGAGCACCATACCAGAACGGTACCCGGTGCTCCGGGCAGGCTCTGGTACGCCCGTACCGGGGCATACCGCCTGTAACCCACCACTGATGTTCAGTTAACTAAAGTTTTAAGGAAATCATCAAGTAAACCTAAAAATTCAAATGATTATAGTTTTCTTTTTGCCATTAGTCTACATTTCCTAATCAGAAACATTAAAAAGTCATTTCCTTAAGCAAAGAAAGTACTATATAGCAGCGGTCCCCAACCTTTTGGATACCAGGGACTGGTTCAATGGAGAGAGGTTTTTTTCATGAAACAGAGGATGTGTGGTTTCATGTACTGCCCGCGCCCCATGAATGGAGCTTTGCTTGTTTGTGCAGCCTGGTTTCTGGAATGCCTCAGAATGGTGCCAGTACATGGACTGAAGGTTGGGAACCCCTGCTATACAGTATATTAAGTAGATTTTAAGCATATTGTAGGAAAAGGGTTCAATTAAAATCCTGGTATCAATACATACTTACTAAAATGTGGAGGTCAAGAAAAGTTGTATGACGATATACATCATAATGTGTATATAATACATGTACATGTTAATATATGCATATGCATCTCTATGTATATAAAAATGGATAGAAAAAGAATCTAGATTTTTTTTACTCTTGAACTTTTCAGCATTTCAAAAAACTTTTAAACATGGTGCAATGCTGCTTTTTGCTTTCAATAGGTTTTCCTTTACTTACATACATTTTTGGTCTCATTCATCTCCCAAAACTCATTATTTTAATCAGATAAAGTGATGAAAAGTAGAGTATGGGTCAGCCTTCTCCCTAGGTACTGTAGATACCCTGACATACACAGAAACAGTATTTTTTTATTTTGTTCTATTACTTTAATTTAAAAAGCAGATACTGCAGAAATAAAATGCTAAAGTCTTGTGAATAATCTTCATTTCAAATGAAGTTTTTCATTTAATATGAAGGTAAAACTAGAGAGAATGATTGAAAACTAGAAGTAGTGATTAGGACTAGCATCATCACATTGTCTTCTGGTAAAAGGGTAGTTTATAATTGACCATAGCCATCACTGCCAGCTATTTAGTGAGAGCCCTATAACATACTGAGAATTTCAAATGTCACCCAGTAATAAAAGTCTCTTGATGTAGGCTGATAATTTGTGACTGGCCAAATTTGTAGCTAGTCCAAGGTAAGTTTACTGATGAAAAACATCCAAGTCTATTACCATTCATGATGTCACAAAGTTTTTTAAGTAATACTGATCATTCCCACATGCTATAGCACAGCAATCCATAATCTTTCCTGCTCCATTGCCTGGCAGCAGCGGCTGGGGGAGGGGATGGTTTTGCACATGCAACCTACAGTAGTTCTCACGTATGTGTAAATGAAGCGTCATGCCATTGCCCACTGCTTGTACAGCGTGGTTCCCAAATAGGCTGTGGACTGGTACAGGTCTGTGGATCAGGGGTTGGGGACCCCTGAATGCAGTACTACAGGCTACCTCTGCTGATTGCCAGCTGCCTGAATTTGGCAGGTCGAATCTTACCAGGCTCAAGGTTGACTCAACCTTCCATCCTTCTAAGGTGGGTAAAATGAGATTGTTGGGGGTAATATGCTGACTCTGTAAACCACTTAGAAAGGGCTGCAAAGCATTGTGAAGTGGTATATAAGTCTAAATGCTATTGCTATAGTATCAATAATCTTT